CAGTATTTGAAATGTTTGACATAAGGTTGTAATTGATTTACATAGAGAACATTCCAATATTCGTAAACAATGTTCTCTATAACCAAGGCGATGGTGGATCCTGGCATTGGTATACTGTTAGCTGGGCTTCCTGATGGAAACGCCGGATTCGTTCTTGGCTTGGGAGACCTTGTCGGGAGGATGAGTCCCCCGTAGTATATCGCAGCCCGACACCTCCCAGCCGGAACGAGACGGTGAAGCGTTGGGAAGTTGTGTTTTATTAGACTCTTGGACAATTGGACGGTCCGTCTCCGAGCTGTGCGGACCCCAGCACGTGTGCGATTCGTTCTTTTCTCTCGCAATCGTAGTCCATGGTGGTGGTCTTGTTCGAGTTGTGTTTCATTATGAGTAGTAATACAATTAATTTCCTTTTTTCTTTTCCTAACAATTCTTTTTGATATTTCGATATTTTATAGGTATTCGATGACAAACTGGACGTGAGCGTACTTGCAACAGGTCTAATTTCATCAAGTCTATTTCTTTATGTCACCTATACGTTTGTAATGAGTGAAGTGCACATCAATTTTTTGGATCATTTGTACACCGTGGTAGTTCTGATTTTGTTCGGATACGCTACTACACCAGCGATAAGGTACGTAATAACGATAGCATTCTTAAATCGTTCTTTTCATCAACTATCTGTTTTTTTTTAAAGTTCTTTAATATTGACGGCTTCAGGACATTGACGGATACAATCAGTACGGACACAATATTTGCACTATCGTATATTACAGTGTTAATAAGTTGCGTCTTTCACGATTATGGCATAAACGCTCCTATGTGAGTTATGTTTGATAGTGTTTCGTCTCTTCAGTATTTTTTTACACGTGGGTCCGTTTTTTGTCATTATATTTAAACAGTGTCATTTTCTGCCGCCTTTCCATCATTGTAGAAATAAGGGGAGCGTGTAGCGCAGTGGTATGAGGTCTTCTGCGATACACCTGGGGTTGATCCATGCTTCCCAGGCTCACGAAGCCTTCCATTCTTCCGGGCCGGCAAAGGCCATGAGTAGGCCACCGCGATTCATCTTAAAGGGCAGATATGCATTCAATCATCGTGAGCGATGCTCAATGAAATCGAGTGCATGGCGCATCACTCGAAGATAGATGAACGCCGAGGGCTTTATCCTTCTATTATAAACAAGGATAGCTCTTTGGAATATCACTTGTTCGTTGAAATCAACTTTAATTCTGTTATCAGCCCATTTATCATCTTGAGTTTTCAACCTAAGATCTAGTTTTGCAAAACTTTTGAAGAAGTAGGCGTATCGTTTCCGTCGGTTTGTTACTATGTAGCTATTATATGTGGATTCTGTTCTCTCGTAAAATCCAACAGCACAGGATGGCCGGAAAGGGTGTTGGCAAGATTTTGGTTGTTTCAGAGTGTCTTATCAGTTGTCGGTGAGCAGTGGTTTAAGTTCAGCTGTATTTCTGCTTTCTCGGCTGAACTCCAACGATATGGCCTTCGTCATGCTGTCCATGGCATTCGCGTTGCATGCCTTTACACCTTTTTTCAGGTGAGTGTCACATTTCGTTGGTGACTTTTCCCTCAAAGTTATTTTAATAAATATTCTTGAAGGAATCTCCTTTTTTCCCGTTATACGTTGACCTCTTCGATAGTGACATTTTCCTTGGTTGCTTGTTCAACATATCTTCTCCGGACTCTACATGTGGAATTGTCTGTGATATGGGTGATTTGCCAGCTCTTTCTACTGTTTGTTTGTCCGCTTATTTTAATCATCAAGCAACAGAGTAAGCAAACCATTCATGGTCCTTGGGATGAAGCAGTTCCAGAAAAGGTTTCTATCTAGTAATCCATATGCTGTTAGAGCGAGGCTAAAAATAGGTAGTTTTACTTTGAAGTTGCTCATCAACATATATGAACTCATTGCTAGTCCACATTTTCTGATGTTTAGGTATACTTCTTCCGCTTTTCTTTTATATACAGTTATGTGTCATATCTCACTATGTTCTATACAATGCACGAATTTCATATGAATTTGCATGCGTCGCCTTTTCTGTTGCTCTGACATTTTATGCTTCAACTGTTCATTGATTTAATAAATAATCATGTTTATTTGTCCTATATAGGTTGCACCATGGTTTGGTTATTGTTTGCAGCTTGGATGTCACTATGGATCATTTGGGAAAGCAACGAACTCGGACGGAGAACCCGTAAGGTGCTATGCGGACTCGAGTTGTGTTAAAAACAATATACGTTATGAACGTGGAGTAACTCAGCAATATATTATTTATGTACATAAAACCATGTAGCTACTTTGGAATGTGTTTTGTTATGAAGTTCAACTGTAAACGGTGGGTATTATCCATAATCTGATCATGATTTAACCCATCCTTTTTTACGTAACCGGTTCCACCTTTGATAGGTGACACAGGTTTTCCACAAGTTCGAAATCCGACCTAAAACACATAGAGTTACGTTACTTGATGAGAAAGTGGCATACACACAAAGTATCCGTTTTAGACATTGAGTGAATATGGAGAGCCACGTGTGTCAAGAAACGAGACAAACGGGTTAAGAATGTCGCAAATGTGTATTGTGTAGTTATCTACGATTGAAATATAGGTTAGAGTGCACAAACTGACGATATGACGTGACGTTTGAACGATTTTAACGAGTGGGTCCTATCAAAGTTGAAGGTTCAAGTGTTGAACTAGAAATTAGCGGCTGGAGAGCGATTTCATTTCTTGTGTGATTATAGTACTATGCGCTCTTACTGGGTGTGAAACTGCAAAAGGAGGTTATTAAAGATCATCGTCTAAACACCTCGGTGGTATTACTTAATGTGAAGGAGACATTTATATTCGGAGATACAGCTGCAAGTACTTCTGTTGTTATCTCATAAGTTGCCACCATCGTGGCATAAACGTAGTCCGAGTATGTTTAAATGTTTAAGTGGTCACAAGAGTGTTAGTTATGACGAGTTGGGGACGTCCGAAGCTGGATTTTGGAAAGGAAGTTGCACAACCAACAAAAAAATTCGCCTCTATACGCTCGCCTAGCATGGGTCCTCACTTTTTCGCTGTTTTCACATTTCATTTCATTGGTTCATGCGATGTTTTGCATAGTCTGGCCATCTAAGAATCGCCGTAAGCATAATAACCTTCGCGTTATTCTCCTATTAACCATATGTTGACAAATTTTCAAAGCAGGCCATGAATGGATGGAAATATACTATCAACAGCACGATGCCAGGCAAGAATTACACCAGCATGTCTACCAACCTTGGTGCCACGTCACATTCCGACTTGTGCTGAAGGTGGTGGGTTTCCAATTCGTTTCATGTCATTACTGTCCTTGTCTATTATCATGGTGTGCTTCAAGAATGACCGTAACTACAACGAGTTTCATTCCTTGAACTATAAGGCCCGTTCCGTGCTAACCTAGACTGTCATGCCTCCAGAGTCGGGAAATCGGTACCGGACTTGTCTGGGAAGAAATCACTCTCGGTAATCCATTTGGGAGCGCTCCACCCCGGCTGTCACAGGACTCCAGGAAGCTATACAATCTATAGGAGGAATTAATTCTAGATCTCCCAGATCCCATTTAATTGTGGAAGCTGATTCTATTCGAATAGGCATTATTTTCTTTATGGACTCCACCCCAAGCTACGTAGCCGGGTAGTATTGCAACGGAAAAAAGGAAAAAAGAATTCCGCAATCTTGAAAGAGTTATCGTCTGATTCCGAACACTACACTTATATAAAAGAACTCATGCGGTCGAAAACTAATTCGAAACATTAAGCAAACATTCTCGGTTCAGTCGTTTGACAAATAGCCATCCTTGTGGTGTACTGGATTCAATACGTAGATTTAAAAGTTCCTAGACTAGTTATATGGTAAGAAAATGGGTAGAAATGTAAGAAAATGTTAAAAAATGTTACCATAGGTAAGAAAATGCGATGACAGATCATCATAAGAACGATGAATCCTCTAATTCCTTTCCCTGCTTTGGGTAGACTGTTGGACACCTATTATCCATCGTATTGGATAATTTGGTGTTTAGTATGGAAGTGAATTCTTTTGTAGATTACGAACCCGACAGTGATTCTAGGATGCTGAACTATTATGTCGTTAAACGATTTTCCATGTCGACCTTATTCCTTACCGCAGCGAGACTGCATGGTTCGGATGGCGCATCGTTTTGGACTTGATCCATAAAGTAAAGCAAATGCAGAAATAATTGTAAACCTTCTCATCTGCCGTAGAGAAAATGCTGAAGACATAGCTTCCTTCATAGTGTGCTTGATTGTTGATGTCTTTTAGGAATGCCGAATCACAGTGTAGACCAGTTCTTCTGAACCAGATCCAATTTTGCTGTGGAATGTGATCAGTTGTGGCTGTGTTTTTCTCTGTCTGTAAATGTTGCAGGAAAAAAAACGAACCCATTGCATGTACCAACTGGAATTGGGACAACGCATAGCGCACTTCCATGGTTCGAACCGGCCACAGAGAGGAACGTGTCAATGTGTTCAGTAAGTGGTGAACCTGAAGTGCTTATAAAAGTGAGTGTACCATATTTTTCTTAGTTGGTTGAACGTTTCCACAAACAATTTCTACTCTGGTTCGATCCCGTACCTTGAACCAATGAAGCATTCCATTTCTCGGGGAAACGGAAATTGGTTACAGACTTGTTTACTGGAATGGAAGCACTAATTTGGTATACTGTTTGGCATCTCTAAGTCATTGTATGGGCCAGTTATGCATTCAGTAAGGTGATGATTGTGCTATGAATGAGATCAAATGCATGTCGCTCCGCTAAGGGATGGCTTAATCAGCGCTGAACGCATTGTCCCAATGTATTAACTAATCAGCGCTAAACGCTTTATTCCTTTGTATTATGTACGCATATAATGATCAACGAAAGGAAATAAGGACACAACGAATTGATTGGGAATAATCTACGTTAGTACTCAACTTTCCTTGTGAAATTTTAAATAGTTCCTGAACCGAAAGTTTGGATCAGCAGTTTTCTCATCATTGATATAACATTGTGTGGAGCTTTAACTCTCTTCACATAAAAAATTTCCGGCCTGTTAGTTGTAAGGTTAGAGCGGCTTTTCTTCTTCAGCAATCGCGAGGTTTTTAGACAGCATACATTTACTTCCATAAAAAACACAATACAATACAACGCTAGCTGACGTTTCGGTAGTATCGCCTTCTTCAGAGCCTGGAAGGGTATACTGATATACAATCTACTAGGCCAAACGCTTCAATAACACTTACAAAAAAACGAAATACTCTATGGTAAGTAAATGATCAACAGCTTCTCGAAACACTCACCGCTTTTTTCGTGACCTCCAATGAGGAAGATTAGAACAGCTGATTATAGTCGCATATAGTTGATGACTGCACCACTCCACATCACAAATTGGTGCGAACATACGGGGTCAGGTCGCGTGTGACCTCTGGGCATTCCTCCCTGCTATTCATTGTAGGGTTTTCGGCATTTATCCAAAAAGCCTCAAGAAATTTGCGCTTTAGTGTTTTAGTATCCTGTGCGAGGATATTGACTTTTACTTCGAAATCATCTCCGCTGTGCTTTTGTATCCTATGCGTGCCTAGTGGGGTACTTTATTTTAGTTTTCGTTTGCCATCTAGGTGTTCTTTTATACGGATACACAAGGGTCTGCTCGTTTCGCCAACATATTCATCTTCGCAAGTACTACAAGAGATCAGGTGGATCGTACCTGAAGTCATGCAATCACCGTCTCTGCAGTAAGGGCAAATTACGCAATTTGGTGTTCCATATAGCGGTCATACAGGCGGTTACGAATGACCTGACGACTTGTTCATTGAATTTTCTGTCATCCCTCACAAAAAAATGAGCGCTTCCAAGAAATATGTTTCGAACATCCACCAGTGTGGACAGGAAGGGAACGGAAGGAAGAATCCTGGATATTGGCGCGGTATATAATCATTTCTTATGGCCACGAAACGGGAGTTCTTGAGATAAGTGTAGAGGAAAAGCCACAACCCAAGACTGTAATTCTAGCGAAAGTAGGTCCCACAACCCAAGACTGTAATTCTAGCGAAAGTAGGTTTCACATAGACGGTTATACAAGCGGTTACGAACTAACTGACGATGTAGCGCAACCGGTCGTATTTATTAAATTATCGCTACCGATTCCTCTAGACCTGCCCTTTTTAGGCATCGTTTTATGGCTGCGCTTACTTCATCGTTAATAAAGGGCAACATAAACGGGACTTTTACCCAAGTGTTTCGTTTTGGCGCATCGCTCTCTTTCTGAACTTATCTCTTGCGATAACTATTTCGTAGTCATTAGAGATGGCTATTTGCCGAGCCAAGTCGCGCGATTCTTCTTTTAGTTCCCTGCTTGTGCACACAGAGGTGGCTGTTCAAAACATGTTTCTCACAAGCGTCCTCTTTGTGTGTGAAGGGTGGGAAGAGAGGAATTGAACCAGAATGTTTTTCTTACTTGGTTTTCGGTATCACTTTGTCATGTAGCCGCTACTTAATAAGTTGATTTGAACGTTAAGAAGTGGAAGCCAAGTCTCCTTCAGTTTCTCCCGGATGAATTTAATTATACTCAGACTGCTTATTCAATAATTCAAAGCATTTGTCCATCTCTTCCTGAGCAGAGAAGATGACAAAACAATCATCTATATATCTCGTATATAATGCTGAGATATTTGCAAAACTCCGGACCGCAGGTGTATGCGGTGGGGAACGAACCCACGCTGTTGACAACAAATATCTCCGCATTATATACGAGTTATATTTCGCAACATATCCTGCCATTAAAAAGAAAAAGGCAGTAAATAAAGG